TGGAAGAAAAGTCTTTATATTTTACTACCTTTAGTGGTACTTTCTCCTGAATTTTTATTTGGCTCTGGGTGGGCCCTGAGAATTATGTAGTCCGCTCAGTCTGTAGCTCACTGTGGCCTGACGATGCACTAAGCTCCTTAGGTTAAAGTCAAGGCTATCAGCCTTTCCAGTTTTTCCTGGAGTTACTGCCCGGCTGAGCTCCAGGTGACAGGTCATGCCCTGCTCTTGTCAGAGGTGTTGGAACCACAGTGACTCCATCTTGAGTAGCTCCTGGGTAAAATGAGGCTGAGACCTGCTGGGCTGCATTCCCAGGGGGTTAGGCATTCTTAGTTACAAGATAAAATAGGAGGTCACAAAGACCCCGCTGGTAAGACAGGATGCAGTAAAGAAGCTGGCCAAAGCCCGCCACACCAAGATGGTGACAAAAGTGACCTCGCTGCTTATTATATGCTAATTATAATATATTAGCATGCTAAAGGAAACTCCCACCAGTGCCACCACAGTTTGCAAATGCCATGGCAACATCCAGAAGTTACTCTATATGGTCGAAAAAAGTGAGGAAACCTCAGTTCCAGGAACTCCCACTCCTTTCACAGACAACTTATGAATAATTCATCGCTTGTTTAGCATATGATCAAGAAATAACCGTAAGTATACTCAGTGGAGCAGCCCATGCTGCTGCTCTGCCTATGGAGTAGCCACACTTTTATTCCTTGACTTTCTTAATAAATTTGCTTTCACTTTATTCTGTCAGCTTGTTCTTGAATTCCTTCTTGTGCAAAGCCAACAACCTATGTGGTTTCCCAGGCTGAACCCCAATTTTGTCACAGGTTCACCCTGTGACACTCCGGCCTTCTCCATTCTGAAAGAAAAGCTCTACCTGCCATTTACCTTGAGACCAGACAAACCCTGCCAATTTTCAAGACCCAGATCAAATGGATGGATTGGGTGAAGTGATTCTTTGAATTTCAACTCCTCCTAGATGGACAAAACCCTCCGGGAACTCCCTGCCTCATAGTCTCCTGGTAGAAAGCATGGCTGTGTCTTTCCTTCTGTCTGACACAGACTGACGCATATTGCCAGGAAGGCAATGAATAATGAATGAACTGGATTCAGAAATGTTAGACAAATACAATTACATGTCTTTTTCTGGAAATTAGAAAAATATGAAAAAGTACAAAGAAGAAAGTAACACTCATCCTTATTCCTATCATCCAGCATCAACAATTGTTAACATCTTGGCACATTTGATTCTAGTTTATTTTTCAAATATCTTTTTTCTTCTGTAAAAACGATTACTATCATTAACATTAGCTGAACATAATCCCACAAAACTTTCTATGCATAAACACACACACACACACACACACACACACACACACACAGTGTTTCTGTTTAATGTTACTTGGGGAAAGACTAAAATAAAGTCAAAGGAGTTGCTAAAATTTAAATTTTTTTGTCCATAAGACAGTATAATCTCCTACAATATCCCTCTAAGGTTTTAAATAAAACTTACGAAAGATATTAAAAGCTACAGCATTACATATTCATGTAGCACCTTTTAATTTTATACCATATTTACTATTCCATTCTTTGAAAGAAGAGAATATTGGTATTCTCATATTTCCTTCCATCTTCCTCCCCGACTTCTTTTTTTTTGGCTGTGTATTTTTGTCTAGCTTTATAATCCTATTCTATCCTACCCATAATTTCTACAGATGTATTAATTCTATATTTAAATAGAATAAATACTCATCAAGAATCTTTTTACTATTCTCTACTTTTAAGTTCTTTATTTTGATTTATCTCTTAATTTGCTATTTCCTGGATTTTATCACCCAGCAAGTTTTGTTTTTCCAAAAACAGTTCATGGGTGCTGAATTCCCTTTGTTCTTCTGGAAAAAAATACCTGCCCCTCCCCCGCGCCCCGAAAAGTTTCCTTCCCTTGGAACTGTTCCCTCATAATCATCATAATCTGGCATGTAGTGCTGCACTGAAGTCTAAGGCCAGCTTGATTTTGTTTTTCCCTCCTTTACTTTTTTTCTCAGATTCCTAAATAATTCTTTCTCTTTGAATTTAAGTAGTTTATCTTAGTGCTTCTGTATTCCATATGACATTTTCTGGAACATGGCATGTTCCTTTGGCCTACAGACCATTTTTTCTTCATTTCAAGAAGCTTTCTTCGGACTTATTTTTATTTGAATTTTCTGTCCAATTTGTTGACTTCTCTACGTCTTGGACTCCAGTGGTCCCAATTCTTTATTGTATTTTGTCTTTCACAATGGCTTCTTTCTTCTTAATCTTTGTCCTTTTTCAGCTGAATTCACTGGGCTTCCTTACTGGGCTTTCTTCTATTAAAATACTTTTATTTTCAGCAGTATTTCTTCTGTTCTTTCTCCTGACTTATTTGTTCTGTCACTATGTTTTTATGGTCTTCAATTTTCCTTTAGGTCTGCAATCTTCCTTTTCATCTCCAATTTACAATGTTCTCATCTTTGAGTTTGTTTTACTGGATTTATATTTTTATCAAGTTGTTGTACGGTGTAAGGCAATGGTAGTGAATTTCTTCTGTTCCAAGTATAATTCTTTGTTTTTAGTAAGACGCCTTGCAAGCCATGTTGTTCTTTCCTTTCCTTTTTTTCCCCCTTACCATTTCTGTTCACTTTACTGGTGCTAGTTTGGCTTTAGCACCTCCTACTGATATGGCAGAGTGAAACCTTGACTTCCTTTTTACAACTGCACCTGATTCCAGCTTGTTCTGTAAAGCCTGGGCAATTTCTCTAGCCCGGAAAGTTGGTGCCCAGTGAACCTTCCCCCATCTCACTCACCTTCATCCAGCAGAAACAGCCCACTGCTCCTTTGCAAGAAAAGAAAAAAGCAAAGTATGTTGCGATTCAGTTTCTTTCTTTCTTTCTTTTTTTTTTTTTTAAAAAAAACCAAAGACTGGATCAGTTTTCTTCTTTCTTATTTGTTACAGAGAATTCTCACTATAGGTTCTGGTGGTTGAGACACACTTGAATTTTAAATTTTTTTTTTAAACTTGAGAATTAAAAACAAATAAATGAAAACCAATGACAATGTTGATGGATATCCCCATGTACCAGATGGTAAAACCCTGGTTTGTGGGATAACTTGTTTTCCTGTTGGGGCCAGAGAAAATTGGCGGTGGCTCTGAACTCCTCCCCATCATACACACCTCTCTTTTTCCCTCATTTTCTCTTCTCTGTACCTCTAAGTCTGCCAACCTCCTCTGCCAACTACTTGTTTTTCCTTTACTCTTCCCTGAATTGCATACCCCCCAGTTTCATTCTTTCAAAGGAAGAAGAAGGACCCTCAGGGCCAGTGCCGTCAAGCTCTGCTCTAACTCACTAACATTTCACAAATTATAACATGCACATTTTCTTTTCACATTTGAGCATTTCTAAAATCAGAAAGCTTTCATTCTGGTGGCATGACATAGCAAGATTGACAGTGTTTTTTCTTCATTACATAAAATGAAAGTGCATCTTATAAGCAACAGCATTTTAGTCTGGGTTTTAGCTTTGATAAAACATGATGATTGAGTCTGTAATACTAGCATTTTGGGAGGCCTAAGCAGGTGGATCATTTGAGGTCAGAAGTTTCAGACTAGGCTGGGTAACACAGTGGAAATCCCATCTCTACTAAAAATACAAAAAGCCAGCCGTAGTAGCACATGCCTGTAATCTCTGCTACTCAAGAGGCTGAGGCAGGAGAATTACTTGAACCCAGGAGAGGGAGGCTGCATTGAGCCAAGATTGCGTCACTGCACTCCAGCCTGGGCGACAGAGCGAGACTTTGTCAAAAACAAAACAAAACAAAACATGATGATTGATAATCAAAGATGATACATACCATTGACTCTTGAACAGTTTGAAGGTTTATAAAGGTAGCAGAAAAAATGTGTCCAATGTGGCTTTGAGTGTGCAAGTGTGAGCCACGGAATAGATATTTTAATAAATGTTTCACTTCTAAGATAGTACTTCTTGGGTTATGATCCTTTTCATACGTTTTGAAATGACTTTTAAACAAATCACCATTGTCAAATTATGTGAACCAAAATCAGATTTTCTTTAACTTTTCAATAAACACATGAGAAACTTTAGAGGAAATATAAGAAAAATGAGTCATGTAGATTTTTGATTATCTAAAATTGTGGAAAACAACTTTATGAACAATAGAACTGACAAGTTCAACTCATTTTCTGAGACAAACAGATCAAGCCTTATCAGCTATGCCCTAATTGCTAGGGGAGTTTATTGGGTATTTTCCTTAGGGTAGATTTTGATAGGGTCTCTGCTATCCCCTCACCCCCTCAAGTCTGCACAGGTGGATTGGGGGTCAGTGGACAGGATACTGAGAAACCTTGGCAAGGAGTGGGACTTAGCCCCTGGGCCAGTTAGCACACACGGGAAACTCCACGTCTCCCTGTCTCCCTGAGCCAGCTCCGGCACTTCCCACCACTAACTCCACGCCCAAACATGCTATATTCGTTTCTAAGACTTCCTGCTAAACAAAACAAGGAAAAAAAAAATGTTAAAAGAAAGGAGGTGGGAATACTCAGAGTCAATAAAACCACTGCTAACCAAATAAACGGGCTGATGGAGTCAACTCGCTACTGTGTGTAACGGATAGATTTGCTCAGGGTTGAAACGCAAGTGCCGATCGCCTTTCCATGTTCGCGGAATATCTTCCCAGTATCTTCCCTCTCCGACCCTGGGAAGGTGCACCCTTGTGTCTCCGCGGCCACATCCCCTCGCCCCTTCCCCCTCCTGCCTCCACGCAGCGGATCCGGAGGGGTGTAGGCCACTCCAGCCCCGGTGCCGTCTGTGACCACGACGCAGGTCGAGGGGGCGCTAATCCCAGGGGACCTCAAGGGGGCGGGCTGGAGATCCTGAACCTGAGCACTGGGCTGGTGAGCCGGTTTTGCAAGGCGGGGTGGACCTGGAGGAATGTGACCCTCAAACTTAGCAATGACTCACATCTTGCAGTGGCAACTGTCCGGTGTTCTGGGCATCCTTGGTGGGGCGGGGTGGGACGTGGGGGGCGCAACGAAAGCGGACTCCCAGCAGAGG